TATAACATGACTTCATGTTTAGAGAATATTATGCGGCTCTTTGTGACTTCCTATATTGAGTTTTTTTTTTTTTTTTTTCTTACTAAAAATATCTTTGAGATATATAAAGATATTGAACAGGGTCACACTGCTTATTTGGGTATGAGGTATTTAAAAATATTTTTTCCCCTTTTCTCAGACAGCACATGGGAGAGGGGAGGGGTAGGAGGCTCCGTCTATATCTTTGGGTAAGAGGTATTTAAAAATATTTTTTTCCCCTTTTCTCTGACAGCACATGAGAGAGGGGAGGGGTAGGAGGCTCCGTCTATAGGTCTTACCCTGCCATAGTCCCCTTTCCCTAGCCCTCCAGCTCCTTTAGATCCTGGACGCCCACACGAATGCCCAGCATAGTTTCAGGCTGATCCGGGGATCCAAATCTGTGGTCAGCATGTGGCTTACAGTCTTGCAGGGTATCTCAGCAGCTGTGCCTGTTTTGTTAGTTTTTGACCTGGACTTGGCACACTGTGGCCAGCAGGCTGTTTGAAGTAGGCTGCCGTTTTTTGTAAATCAAAGTTTTATTTTTAATTTTTAAAAAATTGTTGAGAGGTTTTTGCTCTAGGGCGTGTGCGCTCACCAGAGAGAAAGTAAGAAATCATCCCTCCAGGAGGATGGCCACACCACAATTCCTTCTCCATTCTCTGGGGATTTTGGGCGGACACACACATGCACCTGGCATGAGTTTCAAGCTACCAAGTCTAGGACTTGAGCCACAGTCGACTTCTTGGGAGTCCCACATCTTAACGATGCGCCACCTGCTGACCCCTTAAATAAAGTCTTATTGTAAATCAGTGTCACCCATTCATCTATATACTGTAACAGTTCAGATAACCTGCAGAGCCTAAAACGTTTACCATCTGAGCATAGACAGAAAATCTTTGCTGACTGACCTACCATTGACACCAGTTTTAATTTAGGTGGAGTATTTTTTGTCGTTTCTAAAGTTTTCCATTCATGTGTTCAGTCACACTGATTAGTAGAAGTGCTTTCTGGCCTCTGCTTACCCCAAACCAAGCAGACAGCCATGCCTGAGGTTCTGTATATTCCTGTATGACAATTGAGTTTCTACACAGTCCTTTGTAGGCAGCATGAAGTTCAGGAATTCCAGAACTTTTCCTGTTGCTAATGTTTGTAAGCACTACACACCCAGTGCTGGTACATTCCGATGATGGTTTCTACACTGCACCTCATAAAGAAACGACTGATAGTTAATGTTAAAGGATGGAAGCCATTGTGGCCACAGTCTTTGTTTCGCTGAATACCACCACTGCAGAAGACTGAAGTCTGGGCACTGAAGGCAGCGCTAATTTATATCATTGATACTGTTGCATTAAAATTGGGCGAGTCTCGTTTTCATGTGAAGTGAATGTGTCCTTTTTATGCAGCAGCAAACAGTTTTCTTCCAGCAGTAATAAAGTGGGAAATATAGGAAGAATGAATATTTAATTACTGCCTTGCTGCTTAGTATTTCATTCCAGTCAGATTTATTTAACTCCTCACAACTCCAAAAGATTTTACTACTGAGTGGCAGATTTGTAGAACATCCGTGAGTCTTCAGTGTCGATGTTTCTTCATTGTTTGTCGACTGCTAGGCAACCTTGCAGTCCCTCTGTCTGTCACGCGTTGTCCTTGCAGTACACGAAAGCAGTCCTAGTGAATTTGTGAATTTGCTCAAATACAGACCCTGGTTTTTTATGAGGAAGAAATTGTAGGGTTTCTTCTTTCATTCCTTTGGTGAAATAACTGGGTAGACATAGTATATTTATTTAGTTTGATCAAAAATCTACTGGTAAAGCGAAGACTTTCATCTGGTCCTGGCCTGTAGGTTTTGTTTCATTTATTTTTAATTGCAAGAGGGCACAGGCGTTGAGGTGGGGGGATGGTTCCGCCACAATCCCTGCTTCTCCCTTCTCCTGTCAGGATTTTGGACATGTATACACATGTGCTGCCCAGCATGATTTCAAGCCAGCAGGTCCTGGGCTCAGATTGCCTTTGGCCATGTGGTAGTCCAATGCCTTCACCACCACCCTGCCTGCTCGCCCACCCCACCCACTTTTAGATGCTAGTGTTTTAATGATCTTTGGGAAAGACATTTTTTTTTTTTATCACAAGAATGAGGGAGATTGCGTCTTTTTTGTGTGTGTGTGGAGATTATATACAATATCAAATATAAAGCTCTATGAATGTTAGTTTTCTCTGTCCTCTGTGCATCAGCGTTGAAGAAACATAAAAGCAATTTGGATGTTCTAGTCCACTTTCTGGAATCTTCTGGGGTCATTACTTTGATTACTTTTGACAGATACAGTCTTCTCAGCAGTCTGTGTTGTCAGCCTAACAATGACCCGTCCCTTTGACTCGTGTTGGGGATAGACTTTGTCATCCCTCTTTAATCCTTGTACCAGAACAACTTGGATGGGTTTTGGCTTTGAAATGTGTTTAGGTGAGTTCATGATTCCAAACCGCCCAGAGGACACTGGTCCTTCCTTCCGGGCATCCGAATTTTACCTACTATCTCATTCAAATGCAATGAGAGCCACACAGATCCCCCCACCTTTTTTTTTTTTTTTAATGTTTTATGCTATAGGGTGCATGCGCTTGCCAGGGAAAGGCAGACTGACAGAGAAAGGGAAAGTGAGAAATCACCCCTCAGAGGTTGGCCATGCTGCAGTCAATCCCTTCTCCATTCTCTTCTCGGGATTCTGGGCACGCAAGCACATGCTTGGGGCGTGATTTTCAAGTCGCTGGGTCTGGGACTTGAACAGTGAAGTCAGCCATGCTCTCAATGCCACCTGCTGGCCGGCCACCCAGTTCCTCAAACATAGTCCTTCTAAAGTTTGTTGGCATATCATGGATAAACCACTAGGCTCCTGTGCCTCGTCACTAGTTGGTCGCTATAGATTTCTCTAGTCCTTACGGAGTATCAAGGTGCCAATTCCTGTATCATTTTCACTTCTGCTCGTGAGGCGGGAACTCTTAGACGTTACTGCTGAGGCAGATTGCTTCATTAATTTATAGGTCCTTTCAATACTGTGTCCCAGGCAAGTCCGAACATGATCTAGAAAGCTGATTAAAAGGCCTGTGAGCACAGTAAGCTTCATTTAAAATCAAATGGCTATTTAATACATTGAGAAAGCACTCATGCCTTTCAATCTTTCTCTTTCATCCACGCTTGCTATTAAATCGGATGGACTTGAAATCTGCTTGCTTTTTCTATCAAAAGAGTAGGTCATTGTCACATTTCTCCAGTTCAGTTTTTCATTGTGGGTCTCTTCCTGCAGGCGATTTTGACAGCTAAGGGTTCAGAGCCATGAAATGAAGCAGGCAGGAAGGAGAGCATGCCCCGATCTGGGAGATTGTTCAAACGCGTGGGGTGGACCCGAGCACGCGTGGGGACAGGTGTGGAGGCGGTGTCCTGTGGGCAGCCAGCTGCCTGTCAGCCTTTCCTGCCTTGTGCAGCAAAGCACAGCCTGTGTCCTGCGATGGGATGGAGATGCCTGGTTATATAGATCTCCCTCTCCCCACAGATATGTGTTAACTGCTTTTTTGGTCTCAGACATGCACACTGTGTTCTATGGCAGGTCTATGAGGATTCAGAATTGAGAGGGCTGTTACTTAGTATATGTGGTGGCTAAGGCATCACTTTTATCCTGAAAGTTTGGTCACTGGTAACTCCCAGTTGATGGGGACTTGACCTGTTTTTCACATGTATGAATGACATCGTTATATACTGTGGTTTATATCGGTGGGTAGAATCCATCTGAACTTATACCTTTGATGAGTAAAAAACATCCTGAAATCAAATGGTGATGAGGTCACGGGAGTCTGCTTCTGTGACTTCTAGGAAGATGAGATCAGCTTGTCCTCAAATTAAGGGGTTTGGCATTCTGAAGTCTGTGATTTTGGACCTTTTTCTTTTCTGTAGTCTGGATGATGTCCAGGGCAAATTACCAAGGTTAAACCTGTAAAGGGAATATGCTATTATTATTATTAGTTTTTTTTTTTTTCTTTTTAAGGATTTTGCCATAAGGCACATGTACTCTCTGGAGAGAGACAGTGAGAAGGAAAGTGGTAAGTCATCCCCCACCTGGGGAGGATGGCCATGCTGTAATCTCTTCCCCATTCTTCTCCTGGGATTTTAGGTATGCACATGTACACACTTGGTATGATTTTCAAGCCTCCAGGACCAGGACGTGAACCATCATCAACCATGTGGAAGTCCAGCACCTTAACCACCACCCCATCCACTCGCCTCTATTATTAGTTTTAAAGAGACAGTCCTTCTGTGTTTCCCAGGCTGTCCTCAAACTCACAGTCCTCCGCAGCCACCAAGTAGCAGGGATTACAGGTGCACACCACCACACCCAGCTGGGACATGCTATTCTTAGTATTCAGGAATGTCCCGTGTGATCCTGGAAACCTTCTCTAGAGTTTTCCGTAGGATTTTGTGAGAACTCCTTTAGCAAGCTAACAGGGAATTCAGCTTTTGATTTTGAGGAGAGTCAGGACTTTCCGTTCAGAGGCAGGCTATTGTCTCACTTCTCTGAGAGAGGGGTAGTAAGCCAGGGAGCTCTAGTGGTCCTCTGGGGTCCCCCTTCTGTCTCTGTGTAAGCATCATTTTGTGAGTTTGGGCCATTAAAAACCCAACAGTATAGCCGAACATACAGTGGATTTGCATATCTCCTGTCGATTGTTGACAGTGAAGCCTCTCGTCTGTATTTCACAGTTGGAAAATCTTTCTCCTCCCTTGCAAAAAGATTGAGTCCGAGGTACAAGAAATTGTGTGATCTTTCATCTTTCTTCCTTCCCAAATTTCACAGGAAAGCTGGGTCCATGGTACTCTTCAGACTCGGAATATACTCACAGACCTGTGTTTGGCTGTTAAGACCATAGGAGGTTTTTGTAGTTTTGGCAAAAACTTTCAGTTTTATCCTCATTTATTTTTCTCTCTTTCTGTTTCAGTGTCCTGGGTCATGAAACTTAATCCACAACAAGCTCCATTATATGTGAGTAAATCATGAGATTCGTTTTTATTTTGTACTTTCCTATGCTGTTTACTTGTGGTAATACACTCATGCTGTCATGTGACAGAGATTATCAATGAAAAGGTTAACTATTGGCACGTGGACTTATGGGCATAATTTATCCAAGAACTGAGTTTGAGTACATTCTAAATGTGCATAGAAATAAGTTGAGAACATAACGTCTGTAAGCGTTGCGAGGTAATGTAGTCTGGATGACGAGATGCACACAGGAAACATTCAAACCGCCCTGCAAAATGGTACCATCGAGTCTTACCTGGCCTGCACGCATTTCTGTGACAATGTGGATCGCTTCCTATGGCCACCATGAATTACCCTGTGTTGCCGCCAGGTGGCGCCCTGTCATTGGCAAGCGTGCAGTTTCCTTAAGGACTCTGTGAGAGCTGACGTTTCTTCCTAAAGAGAGAGAGAGTAAGATGAAATGGATAAATGTTGGAATCAAGGCTGGAGCAGATAAACTCTAGGGCCATCTTCCTTTTTCATTATTGTAAGAGTGTATTGGGTTGGTGAGACGTGCTGTGTGCTGAGGAGCCGACTTTTGGTTACTGGCCGTTAGGGCTCTGAGGGGCCAGTGGATGTTGGGTTGCTGTAGTCTGCAGAGGGCGAGAGAAATGTCTTTGTGATATGACTTGAGTCGGGCCTTGAAGAACAAGGACCTTTTGCTGGGTGAAAAGTCTCCAGAATACCGTGAAGGCCGTGAGCATGGTGTCCGTGTGGTGGGAGGGTGAGCAGTGGAAGCTGTCCCACCAGTACTGGTTGATGTTGGGGGGTTATGGCAGAAAAATCTAAAAAAAGGGTCAAAACTCGGGTGGAAAGGAAGGCACAGGTATAGGGATTTTGTTCTGCTATTACCAAGGGAACACGGCCCTGTGGGCTCATTGACTTGAACCCAGTGAAAGTCATTTCAGACCTCTGACCTCCAGAATTGTAAAATAATAAGTTCATGTTATGTTAAGCCGTGGAGTGTGTGGTAATGTGTGGTGACAGCCGTAGTGCACCGGTACAGCAGTGAAGATAGGCAGGCAGGAGCGAGCAGAGCCCAAGAGATGAGTCAGTCACTTAGCGTTCTGTCTTCCCGTCATGGAGTCTCAGAACTTTACTGTTAATAAAGATCTTACATATCGTCTGCTCAGCTTCAGCCTTTCCATTTTAAAATATGGAGAGGAGCACTGAAGAAGTTGTGATACGGTTTCACAGCTCATTGGTGGTAAAATTGATGGGAACCTGTTTTTGGGGGTTAGTGTAAAACTCTAAATCTTGTCAAGCTTAAAGCAGTTGTAGTCTTGTTAGGCAAGCAAAGCCTAGGGTGTTTTTTCCCTTTTCTTGTTCTTTTTCTTTTTCTTTTTTTTTAAAGAGATTTTTGCTATAGGGCACATGCACTCAGCAGAGTCAGAAAGCAAGAAATCACTGCCTAGGGGGGATAGCCATGCCACAAGTCCCTTCTCCTCTAATCTCCTCTTGGGATTTTGGGTACACATGCACACACACCTAGTGTGAGTTCTCAGCTGCTGGGTCCAGGACCCAAACTGTGGTCAACTGTGTGGGAGTCCAGTGAAGTAACCATTACGCCATCTGCTGGTCTGAAGCAAGACCCAGTTCTGAAGAATGTTCTTTTTTAGTTGTTTTGCCATAGGTTGTATGTGCTCGCCAGGGAGAGACAGGGAGAGAGCAAGTGAGAATCACCTTTCCAGGGAGCATGGTCATGCCCCAATTCCTTCTCCATTTTTCCCTTGTGATTTTGGGCACGCACACACACGTGCCTGGCATGATGCTCAGGCTTGCTGGCAGGGACTCAGATGGTGGTCAAGGCACCTGTGCTCGCCAGAAAGACAGAGACAGAGAGACAGAAAGTGAGAAATGACCCCCAGAGGGAATGGCCATGCCGCAATCCCTTCTCCATTATCCTCTCGGAATCTTGGGCACACATACATGTACCCGGCCTGAGTTTAAGCCATCAGGTCCAGGTCTCAAACCACGGTTAACTACATGGGAGTCCAGCGACATAGCCATTACACCAACTGCTGGTCTTGGATTTATGCTATTTTAGTGAACAAAAGTAGCTGTTCTTCTGCAGTCGGTTAGACACAGGAGTCAGATCTCTGCATGTAGAGAAGGAAGTAGTAAGCACACGAACAGAAAGTGTGTTGCAGTTTATCTTTCTAGTTGTTACTTGGGACCCGCAGTGGGTGATTATCAGCAGCAGCAGAGAAAGACTCCTCTGCTACTAAATAAGGAAAACCACTGGGTCCTGAGAGGAACTTTTATCTGGAAGTTAAGGAAAGCAGTCCGGATTTCAAATAAACATTTTAATCAGTCCTTGAATAAAGTTGCCTCCAGAATAAGTTTTAATAGTTAAGAATGATTCCAAACTATATGTGTGGTTTTAAAAGTTTGTTTCTTCTGAGGGAGAGAGACAGATGGGTAGATACAGGTACCCCCCCACTTCCACCGCCAGCAGAGCCTTCATGCCGAGACCTACCTCGCCTCAGCCAGCTGAGGTGATGGGCATGTATACATGCAGTGGTCCTGTGCAGGGGTACCTTGCAAACTGGCACCTTCCCGTATGGCCTTAGCATTGCGGGGTGCTGTTTTCCACCATGCCCCCCCTGCGTTTTGTTGTTTTTGTTGTTGTTGTTTTTGAGAGTTTTTTTTGCTGTAGGGTGCATGTGCTCACCAGAAAGACAGAGAGAGACAGGGAGACAGAAAGCGAGAAATCATCCCCCCCCACACCAGGGGGGGTGGTCACGTCGCAGTCCCTTCTCCATTCTCCTCTTGGGATCTTGGGCACGCATGCACACGCACCCGGTGTGAGTTTTAAGCCACTGGGTCCAGGACGCGAACCACGGTTGACTACAGGGGAGTCCAGTGACATAGCCATTACACTAACTGCTGGTCGCCTGATCAGTTATTTTTCATGCTGTGCTCCCAGTGGAGCGTGCAGGACATGGGCCTGAAACCTTGGGGAGCAGGAGCGCAACATGGCCGTTCCTCAGTTACCTGGTCTATCACTCGTGATTCCTTGGCTACAGCCTTTGTGGAAGGGAGGCCCGTTATATCACTACTTCAGGTGTTTCTTAGAGCCTCCACAGAGTATTATTGCCAGATGAACTGATACGAATTGCAGTTTCCGTTCAGTTGGGTGGTAGTGATTAAAACTGACAGGTTCCGAATGATCCTTCTCAGCATCAGAGCCTGGATAGATGAGTGAGCGTGACAATGGAGAGGCAGTGACAGTGTCAGAAATTTGAAAGAAGAAATAATGGCATCACATGCTTCATTAGCTCCGAGGAGTGCAAGAGAACGAGTGACAGCTCCTTGGGAATTTGCGTGAAAGTGACAGATAATGCCGTGGTCAGGTAGAGGAGGAGGAGGTGGCGAGCTTGTTCTTCCAACACGTTAAAGGGCGGTGAGTGTTGTGTTGGTAGCAGGAGAGGTGGGCTTGGAGTGGTGGTGCAGGGGTATTGGTTGAGAGCTAAAGATAGTGAGTTTTCTTGAAGAAATTAAGACTTCTGACTGTGAGAACAGGCGAGCTCTTTAAGAAGATATGAGAGCAATGGAATAACAGTAGTGGATTGCGGGAGAAGGCACAGTTGAGACAGGGAGGAGTTCCATGCTCTTGGGGTGCCCTCGAGCCTTTAACATTTACTTCTAGGACTTAATTTTACCCATGTACATCAGGATGAGAAGTGAATTTTGTGCTGGAGATGGGGAGTTTACGCTTTCATTCAGACGACCCCTTTGGGTTTGAGGAACAGAACTGTGACTGGTCTAGTGAGTGCAGAAGGGGCGGGACCTGGTCTCCTCCAGGAGGGAAGGGGAGACTTAGGGAGAAGGTCAGAGAGAGGCTGGATCTTGTTGGAATTCACAGGCCATTGGGAATGTCTCTCACCAGCCTCCACCGGGCCTGACTCCCTCCACAGCACCCAACTCTGTGCCTACTCTGTAAACATTAGAGCCCCTGACAGCTTGGGGTCAAGTCAACCCTCTTGGAGACACTGGGATTTATCCTAACGGGGTGTTCTTGTTCAGACTGGAATCCTCGGTAGTTTAAGCGTAGCTATTTGGGGCTGTCCACTTGAGGCAAAATAGTTACAATCTTTTCTGGCCACCTTTTATTTTATTTTACTTATTTATTTATTTCAAAAATTTACTGTAGGGCTATGTGTTCACTGGAGAGAGACAGAGGGGAAAGTGAGAAAGCAACTGTAGGGGGGACAACCACGCTGCACTCCCTTCCTCAGTCTCTACTTGGGATTTTGGACACACACTCGCCTGGCCTATTCTTCAGGCCTCTGGGTTTGGGACTCAGCTGGCTCTCTGGGGTCCAGCTGCCTTAACCACCATGCCCAAGTTCCATGTCTTAGATAAAAATGGATATTCTTGAATTGAAGAACAGATTTTAGCAGATTTAGCTCTCACCAGATAGTCTAATTAAAAAATTCTGTGTTGCTTTTATATTCTTTCATATTACTTTCTGGAAGTGAAAATAACAATTCCCAAACTTGCTACTATTATGAGTTCGCTCATGGACTACAGGTACCCATTATAATTCAGGAGACGTCCTGTCACTCCGGTCTTCTGTGAATATCCTCCCTACAGATGTGTAACACTCCTTTCCATCACCTGTAACCTTTCTAGATGACAGCACCCTAAAAACAGAAGCTCACGTTCACACAGTTCTTAATACTTAATAGTTGATGTGCACTGGGTTCTCGCAGTGATGTTGGGAGGGTGGACGAAGCTGCTTGTTACCCTCGTCATATACAAGGAAACAGGCTGGAGATGGTTCATCTAGTGAACGGCGAAGGCGGCCCTTTACCTAGAAACTGATTGTCACATCCATTTTCTTTCTTTTTACAAAGCCGCCTTCCCACTAAGTCCACAGTCATTCCATAAGACGTACAAATCTCACAGCTCTTAATATGGTGGAGACGTGCGTGGATAGAGTCCCTTTTTGCTTATAG